ACATGTCCACACAAAAACTCATGCACAACTGTTCCTTCTCTTAAAATAAGGAAGACACCACAAGAAAGGCCATTCTGAGTAAAGGGGTTCAAGAGTCAGTAAACCTGGCTTTTTGTCCCATCCCTACTTATCAGCTGGTGATCTTTGGCAAATAATGTAAACTTATGTGTCTCAGTTTCCTCTCTGTGAAACAAGAATAATAAGTGTGCCAACTAGACTTACAAAGTGTCTGGCACATAAGAAGTACTCAATAAATGTTGGCTGTTATCACCAACATCAACCATATTTTACAGATGAGGAACTGAGGTCCAGGGAGAACCTGCCCAAAGTTATTAAAACCAGTCAGAATATCCCAGATACAATTATAAGGAAATGCTACCTTCCTGATGTAAACCAAAACCAGAATCTCTTTATCTGGCTAAAAGAGGACACGTACTCTATGGAGAGGCTAAACTTTTTTGTCCCAATTTTGTCGTAAGATCCACCTTATTCTCGAAGACTGCAGGTCTCTGCTTATTATTGCTACCACAATGAGTCCTACCAGCACGAGGACCTCAAAAAAGCCAAAGATTCTTTCCATTTAGTCTTCCAGCACCACTGAGAAGATCCAATATTTTTCAACTGTTTTTTCCTGCTTCCACATGAATTCACACATCCAAAATCCTTTGACTGGGGAGACAGCGCCTATCTTAGTACATGTGTGAGTCTTAAAGGGAGGGGAAGGTTGCATTAAGATCTCAAGTATATGCAGCTGTAGGTGAAACTGGGGTAAAAAAAGAAAAAGATCTCAAGTATGCGTGACTGAAGATGATGATTTGAAAAAGCAACCTGGGATTTCTGACATGACTTCCCCCACCTACTCCCACCAACACAGACCTACATCCTTATTAAGAATCATTAGATTAAAACATTCAACAAAATGCTTTACTTAAAGGTTTAGGGTAACAACAATAGGGCAAAAAACAAAGAGTATCACTAACAGAGACAATACAACTTACAAAATGCATCTTCACCTTGAGACTTACTATAGGGAATCCCTTCATCCCGGCTCCCGACCTCACTGTGTGGTGGAGCCCTCTTTACCCTACTTAACAGAAGTAATTCCGACTCCACACTCCTGGAATCCAGCGAAACAGAAAGAAGCCAAGTCCCCAGTTCACCCCACCTAAAAACCTTTTCCACATCTGTGTCTAAGAATCTGCCTCTCCTCTGGTGATTGATACTAGCATGACCCCACCCTCCTAGAATGATCTGTACCACTAACCATAGGAATGAAGGCTTAGTTAGACACTTGGACCCCCAACGGAATAATCGTATTTCAGTATAACATAATAACCCTAATCTGGTGGGGGTAGGTGAGTGATGACAGCTAGTTCCTTATAAAAACATAGATTTCCAGCCTTTATCTTATGCTACCTCTCTTTTATTTTGATAAATCTAAACAGAAAAATTTGAAAGCCATTCAAATTAATGGAAGAATATTTATACTAATCAGAGCACTTTACAGTTCCCAAGCATGATAATTTATAATTAACTATATCTGATTTTAATGGGATATGGTTGAGCTACTAAAAATTATGTATCAAAAGATATACCTTTCTCTCCCTTCTTTTCGAGACCGCGTGATCTGATTAATTTCCAGTGCTGTGAGCTTCTTTGCCACACGATATTGCCAGATATAAAATGCTTCTTTTGAAGCTGCTATCACATGGGTTTTGGTCATTGCAACAAATAATGGTACTATTAAAAAGAACATTAAGACAATTAAGTTACAGTCACACAGAATCACAGAATGTTTGTGCTGTGAAGGACTTTAGTAATCACTGAGTCCAACCTTTCATTTTACAGATAATATACCCACATACAGTCTCTGAAATCAGAAAAGAATGAAAAGCTTATAGGACCATACAAAAATATTAACTCACAATGGATCAAAGACTTAAATGCAACAGCTAAAACTATAGGACTCTTTAAAATAAAACTTAGGAATAAATCTATATTTCCACTTAAATCTTTGTGACCTGGGATTAGGCAATGATTGATTGGTTTCTTAGATATGACACCAAAAACACAAGCAACAAAAGAAAAAGTAGATAAACTGTACTTCATCAAATTAAAAACATTTGTGCTTCAAAGGACATTATCAAGAAAGCGAAAAGATGAACACACAAGGGGAGAAAATACTTGCAAATCATATATCTGACAAGGAATTGTATCTAGGCTATATAAAGAACTCTTACAATTCAATAATAAAAAGACAAATAGCCCAATTTAAAAAAATGGACAAAGGATCTAAATAGACATTTCTCCAATGAACATATACAAATGGCCATTAAGCAAATGAAAAGATGCTCAGCATCAGTAGCCATCAGGGAAATACAAATCAAAACCACAATGAGATACCACTTCACACCCACTAGGATGGCTAGAATCAACAGGTCAGACAATAACAAGTATTGGTGAAGAGGGGGAGAAATGGTGGTAATGTAAAATGGTGCATCCACTTTGAAAAATAATTTGGCAGTTCCTAAAAATGTTAAATATAGAGCAACCATATGCCCCAGCAATTCTGCTCCTAGGTATATACACCCAAGAGAAATGAAAACACATGTCCACACAAAAACTCATGCACAAATGTTCATAACATCATTATTCATAATAGTCAAAAAATAGAAACAACCCAAATGTCCATTAACTGATGAATAGATAAACAAAATCCCACTCCTTCCTCCCATCCCCACTACAATATTGCTTGGTTCAGGCCTTTGTTCTTTCTCCTCATCTTGTAAGTTTTATATTTCCACCTTAATTTAGAAAATAAAATTCTCCCAAGTACCTTCCTAAGAAATAAATTCTTCTACCAAATCCAAAAAAGGTCACAAGAAGAAAAAGAAAAAAATATATTCTTCTAAACAAGAAATTTTTATTATTCCTAACATACATTAGGAATATATTCTTCTAAACAAATACTTTTTTCATCTGTCCCATTTCTTAAAGAACATTTAATTGAGCTCCTACTGCGTATCCTTTTATGAAGTAGATAGCCTCATCAAATCCATCTTATGGATGAAGAAATAGAAGATTAAAGAAGTAAAATAACTTTCCCAAGGTCATAAAACACAAAATAAGCCATATAATATTAAACA